ATGAACAGTGTTAACGATGTAGTAGACAGACATTATCAGGGAGATAGTGTACGCGTCAATTAAATATATATATAGAATAATAGCCGAGAGAGACATGTTATATTTACCAATCAAGTCAATATGACGGCCATAAAACTTTTTAAAGGTTTTAATAAGTTGAGTTCGCAAGTATCCCCGTAATTGTATGGAAGGGGATCGACGCCACATTAAAAGACATGTAAACACGAGTAGAAGTTACTATGTCAGCATATGAAAGTGTTGTTTTGATGATTTTTCCATGTTCGATTTTACAAAATAGAAAAGTATTGTCCACTAACGAAAAAACACATGTACAAATGCGCCTTGTAACGTTTGTATTTTCTACATCTGATCTTTCAACTGTTGTAATTTCTACTAGTGCATAATCGACATATGTAACTTCGACATCGGTATTTTCTTCCAATGTAATTTCTCCACATGTCACATCCATCAAGGCGTGGTTCCGATTTTAGCCGAAGCTTGCGTCATAAAAACAAAACCTCCCTTCAAGTAGTCTCGGTCATCCAGACAATATGGCTCCTCCGCGATAGCTCCCTCGACTAACGGGCTTGGATGACCGAGGCTACCCTTCGAGGAAAGTCATTCCTACTACCAGAAAGTTGCATGGGGAGCATCAATAATTTTTAACGGAAGTTAACACTAACATATTGTTTTATGCTAAATTTTAATACAACTTTTAATAGTTTGCTTTCTTTGTTATTTTTATGTGTCTTGAATTCACCATTTCTGGTGTTCATGTCGTTAACATAATTTTGAATGCATAGTTATAGTTTCGAATAAAGAACCGCCCCTGTCGGCCCTGTCGTCTGCTCCACATTGGTGACATCGTTCAATCGTAGCCATGGACAATAATAATCAGGTATATTTATGTTTGAATATCTTCCACAAAAAACTTGTTCTTAGAGCACATAAGCGTACAAATATACTACATAAGTGACACAGGTCTTTCTTCTTTTTTTGGTTGTCAGATGGTAGCACTATCTACACTACAGTTCTACACTCGTTCAGTCGTTGAGTCGTTATAGTTTCACGCGTAGACGCCGTAGATACCACATGGTCAATGAAATGGGGTTTAACGTCCTATTTTGATGTATTTTTTGTATTGGCTAATGAAGACTGGCATATACCATGCAGGGTGCAATGAGGGAAATTTTGTCAGGACAGGAATTTGATACCCTTTTTTTAGACCAATGTAATACATGTTATGTTCAAAACAACCCCCATCTAATAGAAACTCGAAAATATTGTTTGTTTACTATAATCTTATAATAAAGCTAAACTACACTCAATCACGTAAGAGCTTATCTACCTTGCATTGGCCTTGATTCATTATAATATAATATGCAGGCCCGTAGCCAGACTGTAATCAACGGCGCAATTTCAGGGGGGCATCAGGCCATGATCAAGGTAACCTTCACCCCTACCCCTTTCTAAATCTATGCATATTTGATGAATAATGGACATCCAGATCAGATGATCATTCATGATATTTAGTTAGAGCTATTTATTTATCATTCTTATTTATTATATGGGGAGCAGCAGTGGCTCAGTGACTACGGAGCTTGCTTACTAACCAGGTCCAGGTTGTTGATTCGATTCCCGGTCATAAAAACTCATGACGGATTCCCCTTCCTTGTCAGTCACAGTGGTGCAGACCCGAGCTGAGGGGCTGGCAAAGAATAGCACCTAGTCGTTTGGATGGGACGAAAAACCGAGGTCCAGTGTGCTGCATCAGGACAGGGCGCATGCTAAAAATCCCAGACAGTTGGAAATTCTTAGAGATACTGATAGTACTAGTAGTAGTAGGCCTAGTGATTCATTTCATAGACATAGTCTAGCTAGGGCTAGGCGAGTTATTGATGGATGTCCTGACAAAATTTCCCTCATTGCACCCTGCATGGTATATGCCAGTCTTCATTAGCCAATACAAAAAATACATCAAAATAGGACGTTAAACCCCATTTCATTGACCATGTGGTATCTACGGCGTCTACGCGTGAAACTATAACGACTCAACGACTGAACGAGTGTAGAACTGTAGTGTAGATAGTGCTACCATCTGACAACCAAAAAAAGAAGAAAGACCTGTGTCACTTATGTAGTATATTTGTACGCTTATGTGCTCTAAGAACAAGTTTTTTGTGGAAGATATTCAAACATAAATATACCTGATTATTATTGTCCATGGCTACGATTGAACGATGTCACCAATGTGGAGCAGACGACAGGGGCGGTTCTTTATTCGAAACTATAACTAGGCTGACCTTACAAATATCTTTGTTTCGCCTAACGCGACCGACTACCTAAAACCACCCCCGACTTAAATTATTTTATTGCACTTTTCCGCGATCTTTTTATTTTATTTTATGTGTCAACCTGAAATTATATCACGAGAGTTATTTCCCTTTACTATGGCCATACTGGTTGATCAAGACGAAAGCGTCATAGGTGTCGCTTCTCACCAAAATGTCCGTTCCCACGAAATGATTCTGCCTCTACTATGTCTGTGGAGCGTCGTATTAACCATGACCACACTATTTTCGGTATCGATTTACGAGAAAAATGAAAGTACAACCCGCACGATCATTAAAAACGTTTTGAAGGAAATTCATTCTTCAAATTCGTGGCAAATCGTGTGCGAATCGTGCACCACGAAAAATCCCGATGTTATTGGCATCGATTTGTTTGCAAATAAAGAAGACGAATGTTTCCACCCGGAAAAGGATCAAGCTGTCGAATTAGCTCTAAAGTTTAATAAAAACTTTAAGTTTGTCACTTTTTACGTCAGACCCAATATCAATCAATCGAGCTCGGGGCAAAACACCAATGGTAATGTGAAAACTGACCAAAATGCATTTGACGTGCTTATGCACAGTTCAGATGAATTCGTAAAAATTCCTAGAAAGCAGAGCAAAAGTGGAGAAAGGTTTACTGGGAAAGACAAACTGTATAATTGTGTTTGTGATAATTTTGAACAAGAAGGACTGATATTTACAAGAAACACTTTTACTTGTGTTAATTACATAAGTAGTATTGTTAACTGTTTATGGTACTTGGACGGAAATAAATCAAAATTTGCTGATCGATCAATTCATGGAATAGTCAAAGATATTCCTGAACGCTTTAAAATAAATTTCAATGACTTTAATGATTGGAGAAAGAAAAAACAGAAAGTGCCAAGACTAGATTCTGGTCAGTTAAAACAATATGCAGATTCCATTTTTAATATTATTAGCCGACCATTTACAAAAACTTGGCCTGAAAATTTAAGAGTTGACTTGGAAAAGTTAGCTGTCTCTATAAATTCATACGGAGTTTATTTAGAAAGAAGACTGGCTGATGTTAAAACAAACCATGCCCTTTCACAACCAGTTCGTCAAATTAGTACACATGTATGGGTTTCATTTCACAATTCCTGTGATGTCGAGTTTGAAAATATTGAACACAATTATGATACACTGGATGAAACATTATCAATTAGTGATGACTATAAACCTATTTACTTTGATGAGGAAATTCATGTGCCAAAACGCTTTACAAATGCCATGGAGAAATCTAGGTTTTTTGAAAAATTAAAATTAAGTGTACCAGTGGATGTTTTGAGATATGACCCTGGAGGTGCTTGTGGTCAAACATTATTCCTATGGAGAGTTCCACATGGGCGTAACCCAACAGAAATGATGAGTAGTGCAGCGAGAATAGTAAAATCATTAGAGGACAGACTCCCAGAATATCATACCAGACGTATGCACAAGGAATTTAGTGAAAAGTTCAGAAATATCTCGGGTAACAAAATTCCTCAACATGTTCTACGTGCCATATATGCAGACTTGACTTTAGATTGTTCGGTAGATCAAAATTCCACTCTCAATGCACGTGTTCAACAAGCCTTACTCTCTGATGATCCAGATTTAATCATAGACATGAGACATTTAAATAGAGGACGCCCTGGTGACACATTTACTGCATTTTTTGATAAACTCCAAGAAAAAGTTGATCAAATGTGTGCTGAAAATGAGAGACGACATGGTGTGGAGCATATGGCCAAATATCTGAGTGTGAGGGACCTCCGAGAGGATATTTGCAAAGAATTGCCACCTGAAACACCCATCCCATCTGAGGCCACAATACTTTTTGCATTTGTTCCTAGAAGTGCTCATTCAAATGTTAGCAAACTGTATAAAAGCAAAATACCCTTAAAGTTTAAAATTCAATCAAGACAATTACGCTCTTCTCACATAGATGAACACTTCTGTGCTGCTCAATTTAAGTATATGCGTTCATTTGCTGTGAAATTCTCAACTAACACTACCTTGTTGTGCATTGATAATAAATCTAAGGTTGATTTTGGTGAACCAGGTGCTGTGTTATCAACAGGTGTGAGGGGCAAAACTTCTCTTGTTCCAGCTACATCAAAATTAGTTGCATTAGACCATGATGTAGCCTCAAAGGGGTCTCTTACACCTTCAGTATGTCTAGATGTTAATATTCCAGATGAAACCAGCAAAAGTTTCTATTCTGGTTTAGTTACTGTTACTTTGAAAGATTCAATATTTGAAGCCAGTAGCCCATTTAGACATGCCACTGAACTTGTAGACTTATTGAAACAAAAAAATTGCACTAAACCTATACTCATGCTATATTCTGATGGGGGTCCTGATCACAGAGTTACCTATAATAGCGTGAAACTCTCTTTAATAGCAATATTTAAAGATTTAGATCTTGATTTACTAATTGCTGGGAGAACAGCACCTGGTCACAGCTGGGCTAATCCAGCTGAAAGAATAATGTCCTTGTTAAATTTAGCTTATTTAGCTTATCAAAATGTTGCTCTTTGTAGGGATGAATGTAACTCGGATATAGAGCAAATATTAAAGTCTTGTAATTCAATGCAAGACATCAGAAAGAAGGCAGAGTACAATGAAACTCTGATCTCTGCTTGGCGTAAGTCATTAAATACTATGATAGATACTTTAAATGAACGAACCTCAAGGCTCATTTTAAAAGGTCAGCTGTTTAAATGTGGTAATGTTGCAAGTAAAAATGATGTAGAGAAACTTGAAACTAAAATCATACATGCAATTGATCCAAGTATTGAAAAGGGCAAATACACTAAAAAGGATTTAGACAATAAGTTAGGATATTCTTCATTTGTTAACAAACATTGTAGAGAAAGAAAGTACATGTTTCAAATAAGAAAATGTAACAATGCTTTATGCTGTAATCCATCTCGTAGCAAAATAACTCTACCCTGGCTGCCAGATCCTGAACTAGATACTAGTAACATAGGACATTACAAGTCTTTTGAATCAGTTTTAGGTCTTGATACAACTGAGGACTTACCCAGTACACTAAATGATACCGTAGCTCATATTGCAGAGCAAGAACAAGGGTGCAAAAACTCAGTTCTTACGGCACAAAACGTACGAGGTATTATTGACTGTTATGAATGTGGAAAACCACGTTGTAAATATGCAAAAAATAAATTAAGTCTAAGACAAAATAGAAGTCTAAAAAGTCTTCGAGACAAATATGACTATTCTTGTGGTTCTGTTATAACTCCTGATGGTCATGCTTTACAAGGTGTCATATTCTGTCGTCTACAACTTTCTTGTATATCAAATATAGAATTCCCCTATTATTCCTCTGGTATTGGTAGGAGTGATTTATGCTGTCATTGTGCAAAAGAGGGGGCAGAAAGAGACAAAGCACTCTGCAATTCCTATAAAATTGTTTTGCCAGTTTGCAAAGAATGTTTAGAAAGTGGAAAACAAACCCCCAAACGCCAACCAAAAAACAAATGAACTGAAAAAAACGTTATTGAATATCTGCTAGTAATAGTATGCCTGACACTATGTATTTTTAGTATTTATCATTGTAATATATTAAATCTTCAAGTTTCTTAGTTGTTAATTTCATATATAATATATTAAATACTTTGATCTCTAAATGTCCAACAAATTATTAAGATCAATGTTCTTTTAATACTAAATAAGTATAGAGCACAGTTCAAGTTTACTGTCAGAGATACAGTCTATGTCAGTTTTTTCTGTAAGAGATTTGGTATTTAAATATACATTTATGTTAAAGTTTATTGTTAAAAGTTCCCTCATTGTTTGGAAATGAAGGCATTGAATATGGTTAGTAATCTGAACTAAGTTTTTAATTTAACCATGATTGAGCCTTGTTTGAGAATAACATGTAAGTTAACATGTCTAAAAAGTTTGTTTATTATATTTGTATAACAATAAAATGGTGATGACTTATACTTGTCTTAATTATTCCTGAAAGCTGTGACAAAATAAAGCATTCAAATTCTTCTCTAGTGCTTGGATACTTTCATAGCTGAAAAAAGTGTGAGAAAATGGGGTTTATAACAAAATTAATGAATCTGTAGTATACAGCTAATAAGTAAACCCATTTTCTGTATTGACTTCTCTGACTTTAAAAAAAAAAAAATCTGAAAAAAAAAACCGACCCTTCTCCTGGATTGTGGGTCGGGTTTGGTGAAACAAAGATATTTTTAAGGTCAGCCCTATGCATTCAAAATTATCTTTTAACAAACGACATGAACACCAGAAATGGTGAATTCAAGACACATAAAAATAACAAAGAAAGCAAACTATTAAAAGTTGTATTAAAATTTAGCATAAAACAATATGTTAGTGTTAACTTCCGTTAAAAATTATTGATGCTCCCCATGCAACTTTCTGGTAGTAGGAATGACTTTCCTCGAAGGGTAGCCTCGGTCATCCAAGCCCGTTAGTCGAGGGAGCTATCGCGGAGGAGCCATATTGTCTGGATGACCGAGACTACTTGAAGGGAGGTTTTGTTTTTATGACGCAAGCTTCGGCTAAAATCGGAACCACGCCTTGATGGATGTGACATGTGGAGAAATTACATTGGAAGAAAATACCGATGTCGAAGTTACATATGTCGATTATGCACTAGTAGAAATTACAACAGTTGAAAGATCAGATGTAGAAAATACAAACGTTACAAGGCGCATTTGTACATGTGTTTTTTCGTTAGTGGACAATACTTTTCTATTTTGTAAAATCGAACATGGAAAAATCATCAAAACAACACTTTCATATGCTGACATAGTAACTTCTACTCGTGTTTACATGTCTTTTAATGTGGCGTCGATCCCCTTCCATATAATTGAAGCTTAGATGACAAATGCCTCGTTCTATTTAAAAAATCAGAATAAAAGGAACAAGCTCTCGCGTAACGATTAGCTGAGACACAAACACTCCATAAGCGGCGACGTGAAGTTAGCTTGTTGTTCGTTGTTCGGTATTCGCGAATAACGAACAACGAGCTGGTTGGTTGTTCGGTATTCGCGAATAACGAATAACGAGCCAGTTTGTTGTTCGGTATTCGCGAATAACGAATAACGAGCCAGTTTGTTGTTCGGTATTCGCGAATAACGAACAACGAGCTGGTCTGTTGTTGGTTATTCACCAGATATGGAATTAGTAAAATAACTAAGGCACTTTTAGAGAGAATACGCCGGGAGTGGGGTTTTATTAGCCAGTTTGTTGTTCGGTATTCACGAATAACGAACAACGAGCTGGTTTGTTGTTCGTTATTCACCAGATATGGAATTAGTAAAATAACTAAGGCACTTTTAGAGAGAATACGCCGGGAGTGGGGTTTTATTAGCCTAATTGGTTCATAAATCTTCAAAGTCTTGGGAAAAAGATTCTAACAACCTCTCTTTATACCCGAACAACGAGCTGTTTCATATTGGCGAATAAGAACAACGAGCTGGTTTGTTGTTCGTTATTCACCAGATATGGAATTAGTAATATAATAAAGACACTTTTAGAGAGATTATGCCGAGAGTGGGTATTTATTAGTCTAATTGGTTCATAAATCTTCAAAGTCTTGGGAAATAGATTCTAACAACCGGTCTTTCTACTCGAACAAGCAGTTTCATATTGGTGAATAACGAACAACGATTTAGTTTGTTGTTCGGTAATCGCGAATAACGAACAACGAGCTGGTTTGTTGTTCGGTATTCACCAGATAAGTGAAATTAAAATGTCTGACTAATCGTTTATTTGATTTTACGAGTGCAAGCAAAGGTGCACAGTTGGTACCCATGGGGATACCTACCACTTGCTGATATATTTCCCCTCCAAATTCAACAAAGATATTATCAATTAAAAAATCCAACATCTGAATTATTTTTGGAATCACTATGGTTCTTAACAAAATATGTGGAATTGTAATTAAAAACTAAATATTGATATCTAACATTTCCCGATTTAGATAAAAAGACACTGTGAATAATGTCTTTTAACCGAGCTTTTAATTTACTATGGGGAATTTTAGTGTACAAATTAGAAAAGTCAAACGTTTGTATAGATGAAACGGAAGCAAGTGATCTAGATTGCAAACCATCAAGTAATTCTTTGGAATTTTTTAATATCCACATTTGTTTAAAACCACTACGAGAGTATATTTTGTCACAGTATTTTTGAATACCCCTTTTCACTGCCGTTAGTATAGCTGTCAATTCTTTTGAAATTGGTTTTCTGGAACAACGGGATCAACCTGCTATAAAACGTTGCTTGTAGGGATTTTTATGTAGTTTAGGTATCCAATATAACAAGGGCAGATCTGTATAGGTATCTCCACATGGAGTACTAAATGAAGTGAGTACAGGCCTGTGATTGGATAATTTCATTCTTACTAACAGTAGAGCGTTTATACGTAGCACTGTTGATTGATTTCCCGAAATAAAGTTCTTTGAGAGAGAGAGAGAGAGAGAAATGGGGTTTAACGTCCACTCGACACAACTAGGTCATTTCGGGACTAACATATGGTTTAATTTTATTTCAATAATTCGCTTGCGCGTAGAGGTCTTTAGCAGTGGGAGGAAACCGGAGTGCCCGGAGGAAACCCACGAGGTTGAGAAGGCGCCCCTATCTCCATGCCACATACGCTCACACCAGGGCTCGAAACCACAGCCGCAAGCCAGAGGTGACCGGCCAGCCAGAGGTCGAAGCGCGGCACTCTAGACCACTAGGCCATCCCAACCCCCCAAAGTTCTTTGAACAGACAGTCATAATAATATCGTTTACATGTAAACACTATGTTATTGAACGCTTTGTCAGCCGGAACAATGACATACTTGTCATGTAAGGCGTTGAGATTTTCAACAATGCTAACATCATTGAAAACAGATTTAGGTCTAGTGTCAACTAACAAACGTTGCATATAAATTCTTCGTTTAAGTAAACGACTGATAGACTTAGTCCAATCTGAGAGAGTATCAGAGATAACATCTTCCCTCTTGGCCCATGATCTAGCGTAGTCCTCTACGGCATCCATAATAAGTTTGAAATTTTGATCCCATGAAAATGGTTGCGGCTCCCGGTATTTGGGTCCTTTAGACAAAATCTCACGTAACTTATTATTCTGGACTATGTTCATATCCCCAGTGACTACATGTCCAGCTGGTTGGTAAATGAAGGACGACGTAGAGCAAGAACAGGGTAGAGGGTTATCATATAATTCTTTTGCATTGCTGTTAGATAATGCGTTTCTGTAATTAAATATTTTGGATGCAATAGGTTTAGTATACGTATAAGAAATCCTAGGAACAGTAACAGTTTTGAAGTAAGGAGGGATGTGTGCTGTGACTTGCTTATGGTGTAATATTTGGCTTAACCCGACAGCATCAATGCCTTTATTAGCAAATTTCAGTTTTAGAAATGAACTTTTGGTAGACACATCAGACTCAGTCAAACATACATCACATTTTTAGACCTATAATTCATATTTTCAGCCATCTTTAAATGCAAACTGCTTTAATAAACTGGAATTATTAATAATATCATTACAGCACATCGATGTCTTGTAATGTTAATCAAGGTTATTTTTAACGCGTACACCATTTAATTTGTATACGGTACGTCGGTTTTCGCCCCATCCGAGCGTCTAGACACTGTTCCTTACCGTTGTCAGGAACTGATATGGGAAAATCACGACAGAAAATACCGAGCAACTTTCTCGGTAAACACCGGGGGTGTATCCGATACCGTTTGCGTGTCAACACCTTACTCACAGAGCTACCCTAGCCTTTTCTTTAGTGTTCATAAAATTTAACATTATTAAATGAGGCATAGAATATAACGAAATAAATGAATATAACATATTTAAGACAACAAGTGATGGGCATTTAATTTGACTACGCGAGTAAAGGTTTCAGTATCATTGTGTCAGAATAAAAGCCATTCTAAAAACAGGAGCCTATGTTTACTATGAAGCAATTCTCTTGTTCTTCAAATCTGATTTGTAAGTGTTTACGTTGAGAAATTGATGAACTCTATTCCAAGTGTCAAGTATTTGGTCGGATGTGTATAACGCAAGTCAATCCTAATCCAATTATCAGGGGAATCGAAAAATATCGAGCATGTTCAGGAAAGAAGGCAATAGAGTCAATAGTCAAATAAATCAGGACGAACTTAAATCATACATAGCCTGCTAATTAGCAACACTCTTATGAAGTTTGAAGACGTGTTAACTCCCCTAGGACAACTTTATACGCATTTCTAACATTAAAACATGTCTTTACAATTCTCTGAAGCAGGTCATCGTGATTAGTATCGGTAAATAACATATCGTATCCCCTGATTGACACGTAAAGATGATGGATTCATTAGTGAAGACTTGGTTGAGATCGCCATAAAATGTTCCAGGTTTTAAATAAACATTATCTAGCCTGCAGAAGAAACTGCAATCTGCTCTGACGTGTTGTATATAGTTTAGTACCATTCCAATTTTTTCTCACTTGCTCTTAATTGAATTCACAGCCAAATTGAACAATTCCCTAATGTTTTATGTCATTGCCACAGACCTCTGCACGCAAGAATAAAACAAGAATATTGAAATAAAAATATTCCATATTACTCCCAAAATGAAATAGTTTGTGTTGGGTAGCTGTTAGTTAACGACATTTTAACTCTATTCTGCCATTTCTTTTTGCCAGACACATACGTATAATGTACTATTATAAACAAGGATGATTCGGCATTGGTTAGAATCGTGTTAATAGTCTGTAATCTATAAGGAACTGTGCCAATGACGAGATTGGCCAATTACAATTAATATGTTGTTCTCGAATATCATG